CCACTGATTAAAGCCATACACATTCCTTCTCATGGAGTATATGGAGTTATTAGTTCTAACACAACCTACTAAGTTATCACATTGAAGGTATTTACTAACCAGAGATTAGTATGGTATAATAGGAATACAATTATACAGTACCAAATATCTGCATAATACTTTAGATGAAAAAGAAAATATTATTACTAATCACACCTGTTTAGATGCGATATAAATGTTAATGGTAATATTAGCCATTTCCTTATAAGGAAATATTAAGCATTCACTGGCCGAGCAGCCAGTACTGATATTGGTTGAAATTTATATATTTTTTCTTAACACATTTCTTCAGGAAAATAAGCTTTTCAAGTCCAGTTGTTGATAGCGTTCTTTCCAGTATTGATGGACGTTTCCTTCCTAGCCTTTTATATGTAGTTGTGTGAAACGTCAACATCTTGATGATGTCATATTTTTCTCTTTGAGTTACATGTCAAATCTATTTCTGCTGTAAAATTTATTCGAGTGATGTGGATTCTATTATCTGGTACAGTTCTTTATTTACGTTTATATAGGCGCCAGTTCACGAGGTTCTAAGAAGTGTGGCCTTCATCAAGCCCCACAGTCTTTATTCAGCCAAAGCCATTTTCAATCATTGATCTTCAAAGCCATTTTAAATCATTGGTCTTCAAAGCCATTTTCAATCATTGATCTTCAAAAGCGGTTGTATAGAGCTGACAGTTTAGATATTTCTCTGACGAGACTATTTAAGAACAATTCTCTGTTCAATTTCCTTTTCTACAATTTTACATTTTTTATATCTGATTAATAGGTGAGGTTTTAAGTGTTTGCTAATTAAAATCCCGAAAGTTTATGATAGATTCAGAGTATCTGGTGTCCCTGCTCTAATTCCATTTGGAGATTATAGTTTCTGTTTCGGAAAGTTTTATCTTTTGTACTATTTCTTGGAAAACTTGGTAGGTTTTTCTGGTCAAGATCATTCTAAAGCTAACTCTGAATTCCTAAGTCTTCGGTATGCCCCCCCCCCTCATCATTATTTTATTGGCCTTGGGAGGGAATACATTATGGATATTGTATATTGGTAGATTTGTTTGGGGATGTCGCATGGAATGCTTAAAGGATCAGTGTCCATCTCCTTACATCTGTGCTTGTAAATTCGCAGGTCGGTAGTCTATGAAGTGTTTATATAGACTGGGGTTCTCATTTCCTAATTACGATATTCCTGTGGAAGTTTGAAATGTTTACGTATTGGGGTCCTCACCAAATGTGTATGATTTTATAGACAGATAAAATTCCTTTGTTAGATTGATGCATTCAGTGAATTTGGAGATTGGAAGGTTAGAAGAATCTGTTGATGTGGTTACTGCAAAGTCGACAAGTATACAATTTTCTGTTAGGGAGGTATCCAAGTTTCTAGAGTTGCTTGATGACATTACGTTGCTTACCAGAACTTAAACCAAAATCTTTCGTGAGGAGTTGACTTTCATAAAACAATGACAGCCTAGTTCATATAATGTTCATTAAATCTGTCACGATGATGGATCCAATTGTATGGTTGAGGATATTGTAGGATACCTTTTTTGTTTCCGTAGTGTATTAATTCATGATAAACCGTACTTTTAGGAGATGCACTTCGGATTCCAGCAACGGCCGAAACGTTGTAATAAATGTGGCGACAAAGACGAGGACAATAGTCCGAATAATGTAAATAATGTACATCAAATTGTCTTTAAATTAAGTGGCGGCAGAAGAATTATCGTTCAACTTTTAAAAGGTAACTTTAAATATTAATGCAATGCTTAAATGCAGCGATCGATTTTGAGTTCTTTTGTAGTTTATTGGTTCCTACACCACACGGCAGCAATATATCTCGCAAAAAGAAATCACCGACAACAGGGGACTAGATTGCAATCAAAAGGTCCAAGGTTACAATAAGGAAAAGAAGGCCCATGCAAATGAAACCCAGATAAAACAACAGCCAGGAGAGCTTCCAATGCTGACAATATTCAAAGGCTTAGAGACTCTCAAATCCCTGAACAAGCCGAAGGCCCAATCAAGAGCCCTCCACAGGAGCTAGATTAATTTCCGCCTGATATGGCGGCTTTTAAACTAGTTGAAAATAAATTCTTACCTCGACTTTACATGATTTAATAATGACATTAAAAGCAAATATTAAATCAAAATCATATTCATTAACAGGCAAATCGTTTGACTGCTTTCAGAAAATCCTGAATTTAAGAAAGAAAAAGTAAATATACTTTCTTTTTCCCCTGATGAATTGGAGAAAGTGGCCTAAAAATGTAAGTTAATAGAGATATTTAATAAAACATATAGTTAGTTGTTATTAAGCAATATTAGTCAATCAACATAGGCACTTCTGGGCTTGAAGGTATAATTTGCCAAGAATCTGTATTTATTTATCTGTAGATGGAACAGCTATCAATGATCTTGGGGTTGATAGTAGAATGGTTTCTGTGGCTTAATCCACGGGGATTTTATTGAGACAACATCTTTTTAGCTATATTTTTATTATTTCTATGCGACCTGATCAAAATTAGCAGGAAAAATAGTAAAATCATTACAGTCTAAAATTTAGAAATTGAAAAAAACCCAAAAAAAGACAAAGAAAAAAAACAAAAAAAAAACAAAAAAACAAAAAACAAACTCTGAGCAGATTATTTTGAACGTGAGAATTAACCATATTTTGTTATTAGCAGCATGGCATATTTTTGGAAAACGATCTGATTCATTCTTTTCGGTGTGTAGTGAACATCACTTCTTTCCTGTCTATATACAGCGCTGTACAAAAATAAGTGAACCCCTAAGATAATATTTAAAATAATTGTCTCTTTTGTCCAGATAATCAACAGATCTTAATTAAACAAATATTCGTTAAGAAAAATCTTTATTAAATAAATTTCAAACACTTTAAAATATTTTGTGAGCATCTGGAAAAAAAGAGACAATTTTTAAAAATATCATCTTAGGGTTCACTTACTTTTGTACAGTATTATATTTTATCCTTGACTTTTGATTATTTGAAGCAGGAAGTTGTGTTGAACGGCTTAATCCCTTTCACATTAACGCATTGGTCCTCCAGATCTGTAACCCCGGACATACTTCTCTAATATAGTCATCAATAACATCCCTGATGTCAACAATTTCCAAATTTATACTGATTACATTATCTATTTATTTCTGTTTTAATAGGAAAACCGATAAAGTAGGACGGGCAGCTGATCTCAAAGATGGCATTAAATCAGTTGTTATCTGGGTCAAGAAATGGCTTGTAAAGGATTTGTAAATTTTTGTTACCTCTAAAACGAAATAGTTGTCATCTTAAAGAACAATTTTTGCCTTCTTACATCATGACTGATGCCAACCATCAAGTTCTCGGCATAGAATCTTTATATTGAAATAATTACTAGGTCTGCTTTTAGGATAGTTGTATACAATTTTATCTGGCATCTCAGCTTTGGTCATTTTCCAATCGTTGTGAAGCAACCCCCTCACCTTTATTTTCTATTAATATTTTCATTATAATTGTTCTTAAGAGATTTCTTCTTTGGTACAAGGACAGCATGAGTGTAAGTACCAGATTGACAATTAGGTCTTATCGTTTTACTGTTGAAATAGTGAGATGCAACTATGTCTTTTTCAAATAATTTCTTTTCTCGTACTTCTCACCTGTGAAACTCTTTTCCCGCTTCTTGTTTCTCTTCTACTTATTATCTTCAAAGACTTTAGGTGCAACTTCAGCCGCCGCCTTCTTTTGTCTTTTTTATGTCCGTTCTCTTGTTTTCCTTTTTCTTAACCTTTTTTTTTTAGTTTTCTATAACTCTCTATCCCGTTGCATGGGGGGAAATGATTAAAAAATGACACCTTCCTTCCCAATTTTGTCACTCACAAGGGCGTGGTTTCATTGACAAATCTAACTCAACTGCAGATATTACTTATACAGACTACTTGTTTTCAACTTAGCAAGAGTGGCAACAGATTACATCACAAAAGCAGAGGGAATAGGCTTCATCTCATCATCTATTGTGATGTAATCTCAAAATGAAAAAAAATACCTGCAGATACAACAGAAATTAGAAAAGACGTTTTTTTTTAACTTACATTTTTCGTTCATATATAATTTCTCAATAAACGGAAGGCTCGTTCCAGACATTATGAATGTTCTCTTTGTCCTTTTCGCATGCATCTCAACTAATCTGATTTGACTTCTAAATGAGAATCAAGAATTCTCCCCAAAGCTATAAATCCTCACTTGAAAATTTGGAAAATATCGTGGATATGAAAGTACGCAGACATATCAACCCACTAATTGGTTGGTTTTAATTTAACGACTGTGAAATTCCTAACTTTTACGTCAAATCTTGCCAGAATATATCTCTGGAGAATTGTAGCAAACCGTTATTTGATGTCAAAAAGCATGAAATAGTAAAGAAAATAAAGAACAAAACATCAAAATCGAATTATGAGTGTAGAGCTCAGGTATTTCTAATAGAAAACGAATAACAGCGACAAAGAGTTCAGTTTGATTTCGGAACAGTTAATTTGAATCTACTTCTTAAAATACTTCTCTTATACTCATGTACTTAATAGTTTTCATTTGTTTTATCATTGCCTTCTTAAAATATATTTAGCTGATACATTACTTGGCCGTTTTATTTGAACGTGAGATTACGAAACAAAGAACTATTTTCGATTGACAATTGAACTCGCGATTTATGTTACAAATGCTCGATAAATTTAATACATAATAGATAATTTAAGACATTATTCTATCAGAGCTGTTAAGAAGAGTCAGCATAATTGTACATTTAAACAATAGAAAGATAAAAAATAATACATTATCGAATAGTTACACAACAAGACGAGTTCAGGTTACAAAACTTAATTACCGATTATTTTATTTATTTAAAATTCCAACGAGGATACATCTTATACATGTACTAGACAGATAGATATGAATAGACTGAGATAGATATATATATAGACTATATACATATAGATAGAACAGAGAGATAGATATGAATAGACTGGGATAGATAGATAAATAGATATGAACAGAGATAGATATGATTAGGAGAATAAACGGAGGTGGATAGATAGATAGATGAAATAGACGGATAGATAGATAGATAGATATGAATAGACTGAGATAGATAGGTGAATAGATATGAGATAGATAGATAGATAAATGAACAGACGGAGATACATATGAATAAACGGAGGTGGATAGATATGAATAGATAGATGAGATATGAATATGATAATAGATAGATAAATGAAAGATACGAATAGATATATATAGATATGAATACATATAGAATAGACTGAGATAGATATATATATACATATATACATATAGATATGAACAGACGGAGATAGATATGAATAAACGGAGATAGATAGATAGATAGATAGATAGATAGATATGAACAGGAGATAGATATGATTAAAAGGAGTTAGATATGGACAGGAGATAGATAGATAGATAGATAGATATGAACAGAAGGAGATAGATAGATATGAACAGAAGGAGATAGGTAAATTGATAGACAGAGAGATATAAATAAGTTCAGATAAATAGATGAAAGAGAGGGGAAAAAGAACACATACACATAAGACATAAAGGAGAAAAGAAGAGAGAGAATCTTCTCTTCGCTGCAATAATGACCTATTTCATATCGTTGGTTGGAATCGTTGTTCAAGTCAACATAAATTTTAATTATTCCATTAATTGCAACCCGTGAATGACACTATTTATTATAAAAATCCAAATATAAATCTGGTATTATAGATTCATAAAAAAACATCTCGTCTTAAGGAAAATGTGATAAATATCTGGTTATTAAGTATAGATTTTTCCCTTTAACCCTGCGTAGTGCGTCTGTGGCTCTACACTTCATGAGAGAGTTTACAGGGTTAATATTTATATATATATATAAACCCATTGAACTCCTCGTTCTAAGAATGGGACGTTGGGCATTGGTGGGTTAAGGTCATCTAAATCGCAAGCCAGACAGCGAACTGCCTGACTCGAAACGGCTATGTATTTAGGCATGCCTTCGCAATTAGACGGGATGCGACACAATCTTAGGTTAAAAAGAGAGAAATGGAGAGCCCGAGCGCGTTCACTCGGCCTAGTTTCCAAAATTTACCCATTTCCTGCAACCGGGAAAAGGTCACTTGGTTTGTCTGTTCTACTCAGCCAAGTTTCTCTCCGTAAAGCCCTGACAGTGTCACCCTCTGCCCGAAGCCAGAGGTATTGTCAGTCGCAAGCCAGACAATAGAACTGCCTGGGTATTTACCAATCTCCCTACAAACAGGATGTGGCACAAGGCCTGTATTACGGGGGTCGATTCCGATCCCGTAAACTCGGCCAAAATTCCCCTTAGACCCCCTATACACCGTGTCGGGTTTGTCTACCTCCCCAGACGAGACTCTGCTCTTCGTCCGATGGCAGAGAATTCGCCAAGCCTGGCAGCGAACTGCCATGGGTCGAGACAGCTGCCAGTCTTGCCCCTGACTTGAAGCTCTTTATATTAATGAACTAGTTTATATAGTCACCGGGAGGGGGGTGTACTATTTATTCCACAACACTTTTATTTCTTTTTCTCATTATAGTCGTTTTCTTTTCCATCTGGGTATTAGATAATTTTCACATGTAGAGGTTCGGAATAGGACATCGGAAAGTCGAATTTGTCTTCTGGCCGAGTTCATTGCATTCACTTTCTTTTTTGAAAGGTATGAATTCATCTCTTCCCTCACATCTCGGAGTTAAATAATAGGACTTAAATGCTAATAATTCATTTTTTCAAAAGCATGTTTAATGCAATATTCACTAGCAAATTCGAATTATATTTCAAACCCAAAATATATTCAGCTTTAAATAGCCCACAGAGATTTGATAACTTATAAAAAAACAAGCAAATCACTTTATTCTCTTATTTTCTTACATGTTATCGCTTCCTTTTATAATATAACATCTCATTCTTTCCTTGCTGTACATTCTTAATTTGTTTTTATGACTTTCATTGTAATGTTTGTTTTTTTCTTAAATGTCATCAATGTTTAATTTTTTTTACAATATAATTTTTTTCTTCTCCCGCGGTTTATAATTTATCACAGTTTGTTTCTTTTTTTTTCTCAGTTATTTTTCTTCTTCCTTTGGAGGAACCATTTTTCTTTCTCGTTGCTGGATATGTACTTCTCGTCTTCCTTAAAAAAAAAAAACCTTTCTTTTTCTCTTAGTATTTCCTTATTTTTTTTTTTACTTTCTGAAATTCTTCTTTATTCCGTCCTCGCTTTCTCTTGTCACGCATTTTGATTAGTTGATTCATTTTTTTTTCGTTTTCTTCTCAGCATCCACGAAATTAGTTTTTCCTGCTTTGCCTTTTCGGTGAGTTCATTTTGTTTTTGTTTTTTTCTTCGTCCTTGGCGAGTCGCGATTAACTTTTATGATGAAAGTTTCTGGTGATTGCGGACAAAGAGAGTTATCTTTCTTTAAAAGATAACTCTCTTTTGCCGCAAATGTATGTAACAAAGCTTTAATGTATTGTGCCGAACACATTTTTATTTCATATCCAATGTGTCAGCAAATCTTCTGAAGAGCATTCGAGTTGTTGTCGTAGGCAAAGATTGAATGGATAATTTATCTTTAGATGACATCGCGAAGCAATTGAAATTTCTGAAAAAATTAAAATGGTACATTATAAGAAATTTATATTGAATATCAAAATGGATCCTTTAAGAAAGAATTCCAGCTTGTTTTAAGATTTGTATTTACATTGATTTTAAATATTGATTACAGTGAAAATAATGAAAATTTTCCTATTTTTGACAGCCATTCAGTACACCCCTTGCTCTTTACTAGCATTTATAATAAAAACCTATATAGTATAAAATGCTCTTTGTGTAATGCTAACTTAAATGGATACGAAATAGTTTCTGGGACTTCTAATTGTTTTACTATTAAAGTCTGCGTTTTTTATCATTCTAAGACTGCACAACGTAATAAGGACCAAATGCAGACAGGATAAAGAAGAGTGTCTAACAAAAAATTGCAGAAATAGAGAGATTGAATACCAAAGACAAAGAAAATGTTCATAAATAAATAAGGGAACTAACAGGACAGAAGATATGCTTGTCAACAGTATGCAAAGATGGACGCTCATAATAGAGAAGGGAAAAATTCTTCGGCGTCACAACGAATATATTGGGGAACACTTCTACGACGAAAGAGAACAACTGACAGGCCTGAAATTCTAAAAACAGAAATGGAAGCTGCCGTGGATAAACTGGACAGAAAAAAAAAAACGCGGCAGTGCCAGACGGAATTGCAACAGAGATGCTGACAGCCTTAGATGATTTGGGCATAGACAAGAATACAGAAATAATAAATGAAATCTACAACAGTGTAGTTATACTTGAAGATCTCAACAGATCTATTTTCATAGGACTGCCTAAGAAACCAGGCGAAAACGAATGTGGACTCCGCTGAACAATTGGCATAATGAGCCACATAAGAAAACTCATAATAGGTATTCTGATTAATTGAGTGCGCAGCAGAAGCAGACCAGAGATAGGACAAGAACAGTGCGAATTCGTTAAAGACAACGGAACAAGGAACGCAATATTCAATACAAATGCAGAAGATTGTGCACCTGTGTTTTATAGACTACACAAAGAGGTTCGGTAAAGTAGGCCAAAAAGATCTGTTAGAGCTGCTCAGCAACCTTGACATATTCGGGAAGGACATTAGAATAAATCTATACTGGAAGCAAAATAAAAATGAGTTCAGGAGATATACAAAAATAGAAAGGGGTAGTAAGGCAAGGATGTGTCTTCTCACTGGACTCATTCAACCTACACAGCAATTCCGAGAGAAATGGAAATCATACCAGAATTCATCATTCACGGTCTTAACAACATAAGATACGTAAATGACACACTGCTGATCGAAGGTACAAAAAAAAAATTTACAAAACCTCCTACAGAAAGTAGCGAAAAAAAGCTGGAAGAAGATATTATATAAACTACAAAAAGACAGAGTGCATGGTCATCAGTAAAAATATGAGCTTGAAATGCGATTTACAGGTTGAGGACACTAAAATCAAATAGCTGCAGAAATTTAAATATCTAGGAAGTGTTCTGACAGAGGAGGGTAAATGCAAAGCTGAGATCCAAAGATGTATTGGGATGACCAAAGATGCATAGGCAGATTATTACGAAACAGGACGATTTCGTTGGTAACAAAGAAGAGTATTGAACTACTACGTTATATCAGTCCTCCTTTATGGCAGCGAATGTTGGACGGTCTACTCAAAGATGAAGAAGACAATCGAGGCAACAGAGGAATGGTTCCACAGATGGATGCTAAAAATACCATAAACTGAACATGTGAGCAACGATGAGGTTTTAGAGAGGATGCAAACAAAGAGAAAACTTATGCTTAACATCAGGAAGAGGCAACTGAAATTTCTAGGATACGTAATTAGGAAGGAGTGCTTGAAAATTTGATACTCATAGGGCAGATACAGGAAAAGAGGTACAAGGGAACGCAACACGTGTCATACTTAGCGGGATTAAGCAAGTGGGTGGCAGAACAGGGTCTGGGAGAAGTAGCAAAAAGACAGAACTTATTGAGAGTTGCAAAGGATAGGAGAAAGTGGAGAGCCTTGATCGCCTACGTCTTGAAGGGACATCGTACATAAAAGAAGATATCAACTTTAAATTCACTAGGTTTCTTCTCCAGTAAAATGGACAGTAAAAATATATCATGTGACGGTAAATTTTTACAAGCCTACTTACTTCATTATGTCTACTTGGAATTTCAGTTGTCTTTTGATTTTGAGTATAAGTGTTTCCGTCGCAATTTCTGTTGCCATTGTCTTCAAGACTTCTTTATTGCTTACTCGCTCCATCCATGGAATTTTCAGTATCTTCCTGTAGAACAACGTTTCTACTGTTTAATTTGTTTGACCATCCTTGAGAGTATTCTTCAGCAATCATTGCCATATATGACCATTCCAGCACTCTTCTTTGTTTCTAATGATTTTTTCCCGCTTCTCAATACCTTACTTATTTTTTGGAATGCTTCATTCACAAATCCAATTCCAATTCATGTACGGGATTCGGTGTCGCATTTTCTATCCTTTGTTAAGAAGCTTACCAGATGTTGAACTTTTGTACCTGCTCGAAGTATATCTCCTCAGATCGTAGCTCGCATCACGGGCTTCTCCCCTTTGTGATGACATTTTCTGTCTTCTTGTAGTTGATGAGAAACCCACTCTTTTTTCTGGCTACATGTATATGTGATATCCGTCGGGACCATAGATCTGCTTCCAAAAATGTATGCCTCAGATCCTGATGGCGGTACACCATCTGTTATGTCTATGCAAGAGTAACAGTCTCGATTGCAACCAGTGCATGTGAAGACTCTCTTCTCCGATGGCGTTGTCTTGGTTTCTTCCTTAGAAGCATGCTTCATCCCGGCGGCAAGCCTCTGTTTCTTCACTCCTCGCTCAAGCCCTCGGTGTAAATCGCGTCTGTAGCGTAGGCGACCGTTGGCGACGTCTTATCACCTCTTGATGTTACATATCCATTGCCAACCTATGACATTTGAAGATGCCATTGATGAAGTCCCCCTCGTTCCTCGTTCT